ATCTCATGATGAGAAATGGTATTAATTTTTGGCCAAATTGAGTACAAATTTGTTTACGTAAATATAATATTGGTTGTAAAATTAGAATCAAGCACACATTTGTCGTTAGTTGAAGCAGAAATATATGATCATTTTTTTTTTATTCTAGCTCCATCAAGTGTTTGAAGATTCGTCATACTAGTATAACATGTTTAAAGTGTTCAAACTAATTGCAACCCCACTTCATATACTTCTGTTTTCTTACAAAGAAAAAAGTAACATCTGAACCAATTAAAAATATTTTAATCATATAAATATAATGGATTAATATCCATCTCAATATATAAATCATATCGGGTACACCATGAAGTACATTAATCACACACACATTAATAAGTTCAAAATCATAAAACAAAATAGAAACAGAAAAGGTAGCGAAACACACAGATCGCGTTACACAAATCGAAAGCTAGCAGCCAAAGCAGACCCTTATGGATAATGATGGTATGAGGAACTAGTAGATGCAGCAGCCACCACATTCAACAGGCAGAAGAGCAAGCTGGGAAAGATTTCAAGGAGTAATGGGTTTTGGGAGGTCAGGGAAATGGGGCATTTCTGGCACTTTTGGAAGTTCAGGTTTTGGTATCTCTGGCACTTTAGGCAGCTGTGGAACTTCAGGTTTTGGGAAATGTGGGAGTTCAGGTTTGGGAAGTTCTGGAACTTGAGGCTTGGGCAGAGGTGGGAGTTCAGGTTTTGGCAACTCTGGCACCTCATGCTTAGGGACTTCAGGTTTTGGCAGTTCTGGAACTTCAGGTTTGGGCAACTCTGGAACTTCATGCTTAGGGACTTCAGGTTTCGGCAGTTCTGGAAGCTTGGGGATTTCAGGTTTTGGCAACTCTGGCACCTCATGCTTTGGAACTTCAGGTTTCGGGATATCAGGTTTTGGCAGCTCTGGAACTTGGGGCTTAGGGACATAAGGTTTTGGCAACTCTGGAACTTCATGCTTAGGGATTTCAGGTTTCGGCAACTCTGGAACTTCATGCTTAGGGATTTCAGGTTTCGGCAGTTCTGGAAGCTTGGGGACTTCAGGTTTTGGCAGCTCTGGAACTTGGGGCTTATGGACATCAGGTTTGGGCAACTCTGGAACTTCATGCTTAGGGACTTCAGGTTTGGGCCACTCTGGAACTTCATGCTTAGGGACTTCAGGTTTGGGCAGCTCTGGAAAGTGGGGCAGCTCTGGCTTGGGGAGATCAGGGAAATGGGGCAGCTCTGGCTTAGGAAGATCAGGGAGATGGGGCAGCTCTGGCTTGGGGAGAGGTGGAAGCTCCACTTTAGGCAGAGGAGGCAATTCGGGCTTCGGAAGCTCAGGCAACTCCAGCATGCGGCGAGATGCAGCAGCAGCAACTCCATTGCTGCCTAAACCGATTCCCGCGGCGAAGAGCAGCAGCAAGGGAAGGGCGCATGTTTTCCAGTTGGAAGCCATGCCTTTGATCATCATCACTCTCTCTGCAGCTATGTGTTTGTTTGGTGGAGAAAGAAAGGAAGGAATGGCAAAACTGTTTGGTGGTTGTTGAATGAAGCTGAGAAGTGGTGGAAGGAAAGGGGCAATTTATAGTGGTGGTGGAGGAAGAGAAAGTGGGAAGCGGCTAGTGGAGACGTAGGAAGACAGGACAAGTCTGATGATGACTAATGGGAGTGCTGCTGCTGATGAAATGTGTTTGTTGTTTGGTAGCTCAACTGCTGCATCCATCTGTCTGTCTATCTGCATCAGAAGCAGCGATTACAGATGGATTGAGTGATTAGTTAGCTCAAAATGTGGAGTCAAATTTGTCAACGAAGAAGGTCACCTGCATTATCATTATGCTTTGCTAGGCAAAAACAACCAGGTATTCAAGAAGCTTGCTTGCAGCGGCCGGGAAGGGAAATATCAAATACGCACTTGAATGGGATCTCACCATCTGCTCACTTTTACTTGTCCTTTTATTGGTTGCCTCATGGAATTATGGACGGTTAAAATATAAGGGCAAATTATTAGTATAGAATATAAAGCCGCAAGTATTAATTTTTTTTTTTATCGACGCAAGTATTAAATTAGAATTTCCTATTTTATGTGTTGTATTTGTTAGAGTTACTGTGATTGTTTTATAACGTATACGGTTTTAACACATGTATTGTAACATGGATTTATTTTAGGTAATAGTGGTGCAATATTAATGTTAGTACTTAGTACATGGCGATCATTATTGGCCGGGTGCACCAATTCAGCATTCTGAAGTGGTACACCCGGTGCATTGAAGAATTTCTCCTTAAGTAGAGTACTACAGTAGTCTTACTTAATAGATATCTTTTACAATATCATAAAAAGAAGTGGTTTATCCAACACAAGTGTTAACCTTACAAATATCATATTGCAATTGTCCCTAGGTTCAATTATTTTGGAACCACCACTATCGATTGACTTTGTTACCGTCGTATGTGTAATAGTTGGAAGAAAATAATTGTACCAGATTCTTTTTTTTTATATATAAAAGAAATCACTACAGTGTTGCCATATTCAAATGTGAATTATCTTGATATTCCTATAATTATGCTTGATTTTATAGTATAGTACCCCATTAGTTAGTATATTAATCTATATCAAGAGAAGGGATAAGATTAAGTAATGGTAAAAACTCACCGACTCGTTCCTAACTAAACAAATAAAATCCTGACTAGAGTTCAAGTATAAAATCTAGTAGGGTGTAGTATAGGGTAAGCGTTTTAAAATGTCAACCCGAGCCGATTCATGTACTTCTACTTCAACCGTTTCAAACGTAATCTAGCTAACGATTTTGAGTGAAAACTAAGAACTACAATTTAAAGCAAGCAAGAAGTTGAATTGTTGTGGACTCTTTATGAGAAAACTTCACCCGAGTATTGCTCCCCCTAGCCTTGTACCAAGTTGCTCTCTCCCTATGATCCCCCTTCAAATTTCAACTCCCTTCTCCTTTTATACTCTAGTCGTGCGCTTATCGCGGTCGATTATCACGAGCGTGGTTTCAAAGCCTTGCCCGTGATCTCGGATGAAAACACATCGTTTCGTTTATGGCCTTCACGGGTTGGATGTCATTATCACGGTCTGGTGGCCGTGATAATTTTTAGACCCGCGAGGTGTACCAAACTTTCTGGACGTTGATGTTCTTCACGGTCGGCTGACCGTGATAAAGTTGCTCTAACCGTTATCTTCGCCTTTTTGCCCTTTTCGATCCGCTTCTTCCTCTTTCTTTCAGCTTTCACTTCCAAAATACCCAGATATCTCTGCTTCGTCCAGTTGCCTCCACCCGGATGACATCTCGAAACCCCAATTTCTTGCAAACTGAATTGGCAGCATTGCCACTGATCTGCGGTTCCAACAAAATAATAATATCATGCTAGTGGAGTTGAATTATGAGCCAAAGAGAACGGGAGAAGGCTCCGCTTCTAGTTGCATGAACATTCCAGGCAAGAATTTTAAAGGCTAATAAATTGGTGTCACTTGACATAATAGTTAAAATTAACAAGACGAGAAAGGGAGGGAGGAAGAGAAGAGAAGAGTTCATCATAGTAATGTCGAGCTATATCGGGGGGTCTATCCACCCTTGCCATTTGTTTCGCTCTAGGATTCCTCCATTGGAAATGAGGTTTCTAGCTGCGCAGTCACGCTCGCTCCTCTGGTCGTCATTTATGTCCAATCTTTGATTTGTTGGAGCGTCAAAGTGACCTTCCGTTCTCTACTCCTACCCTTCTTCTCCTTAATCGAGGACCAGATTTGTAAGGGTTTCAAAGAATTGCTTCGGAGCGGGGTTCCCTTTTCGGCATTGTAAGTCTAATCCCCTGAGCTCTCTTTTTCTCTTTCCTTCGTTTGGTTCTCGACACCGTCGACGTAGCGGTCGAGTCTATATTTCGGTGCAGCAAGGCTTCATAGCGTTGGGCTTCTATTATCTGCATATTAGTGTCATTGCTTCCCTTAATTGTCTGGACTCGAGTCGCATTCGGGCCAACAAACATCATCCCAACTTGTTGTGTGTCGGCCTGCTGGTCTTGAGGTACGAGTGGGCCTGATGAAGCTGATGATTAGGGCTGGAAGTTTGGTATCGGTATTCGGGATATACCGAATACCGTACCGAATTTATCACTATTTTGGTATTACCGAATACCGACTTATTTTTTAGGTATTGGGATTCATTTTGGAGTGCAATTCAGTATTCGGGATTGGGATCGGTATATACCGAAATATCAAGAAATACCAAACTTTAAAAATTAATGATATATAGCACACAACCTTTAGTCATTCCTCACTCTTTCACAATTTAGAAGACCCCATCCAACTCAATCTTAACTTTCCAGTTGTAGTAACTCTCGTCTCTCACCTAATCTCCTTTTATTTTCATAACACCAAAAAACAAACACTAGTATTAGTCGTCTTTCAGCTTTCAATTCATCAAATTAAAGATTACAAATGACAAGAATTTGAGATGTCACCTCTCAGCCATTCTCTTTATCCATATCCTAGCTCTAGACAAACTCAAGACTTTTTGCCTAGTCTTTTTGCCCTAAATTAAACAATTGCAAAGATAATTTCGTATTCGATAATACCAATTGGGATACCAAAATATTTAGGGTTTGGGATTGGGATACCGAAATTATTTAGGGATTAAGATTGACTTTAGGGTGTAATTCGGTATTCGGGATTTCGGTATTTGATATTGGTATACCGATTTCCACCCCTACTGATGATGAGGCCTCCCTGGGTCCGTTACTCTTGGTCGTCTTTTGGCTGTTCGAGTTTCCTGACATATGAGAGGGGCCCAATAAACATTTGTCCTTAACTGCTGGAATCGTAACTGCGATGCCCTTCCCTTTATCCTCCACTTTCCCATTCTTCATCGACCTGTCAGTTTTCTTTTCCAAATTTTGTGTCTGTGGCGGTAATTGTTGTTGCTGATTTTTCCGGTTCGCTTGATTTGGAAGTTTCGCCGTGATTTCCTCATCACCAACATCCATTACCCAATACTGGCGTTTGCTTCCGAGGATTCTCCAGCGACGGCGGCCAGCGGCAGAGGGTGGTTCTCCGTCACATCGAGGCCAGTCCGATCACGATAGACAAGAGGGCATGTGACTTTTGTGTGGCCAATTTTACCACACTCGAAACACACAACCGACAGGTTCTCAAACTCAACCTTTTTCCATTTGCCATCCAGCCGAATTCTGGGAACCAAAGGTTTGGATAGGTCCACTTCTATTGCAATTCTCGCAAAATTTGCCCGTTGTTGGTGCATGGTATGAAAATCGAGCTTGATGGCTCTGCCAATGAGATTCGCTAGCAAGAAGAGCAATTCCTTGTGGTAAAAGTGGACGGAGAACCCAGGGAACTGAACCCAAACAACCATCGTGTTTGTTAGCTTGTCTGTGACTCAGAAAGTCAGCGTCCACTATTGTACCATCAAGCAGTGGTCGAAGATAACCCACGGTTCATCAGACAAAGCTCTGAAGTAGTCTTGGTAGCTCCACAATTTGACTAAAAAACACTCTCAGGGCAAACACCTTCATCGAACTAATTGATCTTCATAGGGCCCTAAGACGGTTGCAGAGTATGGAACAACCTATGGACCACCCAGCAGGCGTACCACCAGGGTTCTTTTCCAAGAAGCACTGAGCTTCGATTTGAAATTCTCTGAGATTTTTCAGTTCTTGTTCCCCATTAAAGGATCTTGGCAAGATATCATGCTTGCCAACCGGTATCCATTGTGAAGCGGGGGACTTCAACCCGATGGCGGCTCCTGCCATTGCATTAGCATACGAGGGTGACTGTGTCAGGAGATGTTTGCCCTCCGACCATCATACTATTCTCTCGCCTTTCGTCCACGCCTGCGGCTGCCTTTGTTGTCGTTAGAGTCGCTGAAACTTGGGTTGCATCCACTTGCATCTCAACGGCGATGTCCAACCCGTTTGTTGACATAGAGAGATCTTGTGTTTTGTGGGGAAAACAAAAGCCCTCGCTCACCGGTGTGTTGTCTGGCGGCCGTCCAAGGGCATCAGCGCTCTCTATCGGAGCAGTCATCAGAAGAATTCGTACAAAGCATGTTTTCCTTCATGTCCTAGTTTTTACAACAATTATTATAGACTTATATTATCACTATTCCATGCCTATGAAGGAATTCTTAATGTTATGCAACATCATTAACGAGTTCAATATATCAATGATTTATAGCATCCTTATTAACAATTTTCACGTTTTTAGGTCATGTTTATGACTAGCCAATCATGGTGTCTTCCAATGACTTACATTATTAACGTTTTGAGATCAATTGTTACCGAGTTATAATATCGTATTTGAGGGGAGACGAAAGAGTTTTTTTTTTGTGATTTTGTCTACAAAGTCAATGGGTGGGTAATAGGAGCACTTCTACTATGCTTTTAGTTACCATAACATAAAGGTACAACTTTAGTTTGTACCAAAAAGAGATTTTACAAAAGAGTATAGGTACAACCCGAAGTTGTACCATAACATTAAAAATATAACTTCAAATTGTACCATAAAAACAAAAACTAAAGTATCAATACTTTAAAGCATTGTAAAATTCCACTGAGTAATAGAATGAGTAATAGAATTCTGGTAATTGAGTTGATTAATACATTTTATTATTAATATTTTTGGTGACGTGGAGTGCAAATTGGACAAAATTAACAGAGTTTTGAAAAGAAAAAAAAAAGATAAAAATGACCATTTTGTTATATATACGCTCAAACATATATTTTTGTATGGTGAAAAATTAAAATTTTGTGAATATTTTATACAAAATGCAAACATCTGTCGTTTATTACTTACAAATCCCTTTCACTCCTTCGTCTCCCCCGTGCTAAAACCTCCCCACCACCCTCTTCTTCTACCTCCGCCAGCTCCGACTTCCCCTTCAACCCAGGTCAGAATATCATCCACTCTCTCTCTCTCTGCCGAACTCTTCCTCTCTCTATGTTGGGTTTGGAGTTTGGATACGCTTAATCCATCGAACAAGGAATATGTTAACGAAATTTGGCACTATAAGCTCCAATATATGAATAATGCAGTTTTACCCTAATTTTTGTTTACCGTGTGTATGTCGCCTGATTGAATAAGCAGACTTGGGGTCTAGAACTTTTTCACAGTTTCTTTCTTCTTCACCTAGAAATCGATATTGCTTCCACTCATTTGTTGGGCGCATTTGAGAATGAGAATCCGTTTTGCTCGTCCAAAACCCTAATTCTATACCCTTACTGTTCGGAACAGCTTAAAGGAACGAATGATATTGATTGGTTAGTGTCGCTCGTTTGTTTCCAGCAGCAACAGGGATGGTGGATCCATGGTGGTCGTTGCTAGGAGCAGCGATTCCAGCCGTGATTGCAGGCCAGGCTTTCAGGATCAAGAAGAAGAGAGCCGAGGAGCAGAGGCTGAAGAGCGCCAGGGGCAGGGAGAAGAGCTCCGACGAGATCTTTGTCTGCGAGAGGGTGTGCACTTCCAAGCGGATGTTGAAGAAGATGGGCGCCCTGTCGAAAGACCCGATCGTCGACACTTGTGTCACAGTCTGTGGCGTTTCGGAGATCGATGCCTGTGCGGATGCCTGTGCTCGGACCGTGTGTGTGAACCAGCACCAGGTTCCCAACTGGAATGATGTTTGCCTGAGGAGGTGCCAGAGCGAGTGCCTTAGGCTCTCGAATACCTCTGCTGCTTCTTGATACATTGGTAGTAAGAGTTTTGCCTCCTTGTATCTTTAGTTAGTGATCATGTTTGATGATAGCTTGCCTGCTATATCTTTTCATCTTACTGATGAAGCCACTTTCTCTGTTTTCTTCCGTCGTCTCTGATTTGACGAACTTGGTAAATGATCATGGCACTTTCACCAGGTTAGTTTATTTCAACCATTTCCATTTGCAAAACTGGTTAGTGAAGGAATCGTTTTCTGAATAACCAGACTCTCATAAACCAGAAGACGCTTGGGTGGGGGGCAGGCGCCTGAATGTCGAATGTTCTGCGCATTTTATTACCAGTTAGATTTTTTTGGGAGATGTATAGTGTGAGTGTGAGTTGGCAGCAGGAACGTATATGCCGGCTGATGAGAGTTTGAAAGACCAGAGCTAAAATTCCCAGTTAGCTGCCGGGGCTAAGGGGAGAGTTTTTGGGATGATGGAGCAGCCAACTTGTGTAAATTTGGAGCACTTGCTTGTGCTAATGAAGAGATGACCAAATACCTTTTGTCATCTTAACATTATTGAGAATCGAGGACCAGTTTATCCAATAACTTTCTGGTATTTTGATTGTGCTGCTGGCATTCCTTGGTTCATAACTGTCTCGACATCCGATTCCTTGAGATCAATTTCTGTTAGCATTTTATTACCACCCTGTGCATTGGATGGCTGTGGATCATCGGATGCTTTGCAAGCTCGAATATGTAGCGTGAGCCTCAACCCTCATGTACTGCATCCCAAAGTCATCCCTATCGCTGCTAAGCAGCGCCATAGACAACAAGTTACTGACTTCAGAGCTGAGGAAAGGTTGCGGATATGTTCTCCTACATATATGCCTTTCCAGATCCCTTTTCTCTGCTCCACAAATCCTAGTGGGATTAGGAGTCAGTCACACTATATCGCAGATGCTTGAAATAAACCCAACAGTAGAAAGGCGCTTTATTGTTAAGGCAAAGGATTGCCGAGCGTTAACAACTTGCCGCTGCTGACCAAGGTTAACAACTTGACGCCGTTCAGTCAAAATCTCAACTTCACAAACCTCAACCAGCTTTAGAAATGTTTAAAGCTTAATGAGCAGAGCATAGCCAAGTAAGCAGGCAGTTCTACTTATACATAACGCTCGAGTTCGTTGTAGTTTCTAATTCAAATCGTTGTAGTTCTGCTACAAAACATCCATCTCCGAAAAACACAGGATTGTCAACGAAAATCCAGTTCGGGGCCTGCAGATCGCTCGGCACATACTTGGACAAAAAATGCAAACGATTGTTGGAGAGAAACAAGTCATCGATAACATAGAACTAGTTCAACCCAACAAATGACATTTGCTTCAATCCATCCGAAGGAAAACATTTGCCCCAATTACAGTGCTGCCTGTTTGCAAATGTTGCACAATTCATTATGAACAATGAAGCAGTCAGTCATCACAAAGGATAGATCTAAGAAAACCCTAAACCACATAAACCTGAGAGAACCAAGAGAGGTAAAAACATAAAAATGCTACAACACTACCTCCTCATTCCTGTGCATCCATCCCCCCATACTGAGAGTGAGAGTAAGAGCAGCAGGCAGCTCCTACAAACAACTACCACTTCGTTGCACAGGAGGATAACATAATTCGTTGCCCGACGATTACGTTTGCCCTGGCAGCGGATTTTTTCTCGGCCTGCCTCGTTTCCTTGGTGCCACTCCAGATGAACTCCCTTGCACGGGCAGGGATGGCGACACTGTCGACTGTGGCACAGCAGGTGTTACCACTGGAAATGTGGTAGCAGCAGCAGCTGGCGGCGGAGGAGGAGGAGGAGGGGCACCATTTCTATCACTAAACTGCTGCTGCCCTCCTCCGCCGAACATTGGTGGCATCCAATTAACAAATGCAGAACCAGAAGCAGCAGCAGCAGCATCCGAAGCAGAAGTTTTGTCTCCATTTCCAAGCATAAATCCCAGAGGGAAAACCCCCCACGAGCAGTAATACGACTCCTTGCCCGGCACCATAGGCGGCAAGGAATGTATCAAAGCAGCGTGGAAAGCTCTCTCGCATTTCTGGCATCTCAAACAGCAATCCTCATAAACCCTAGGGTACTCGTACATTATGTAACAGTAGGGGCAAAGCGTCCAAAACGAGGCCATTCTGCTCGACCTCCGACTGCTACTATGATTCATGTCCCCGGAGCTACTATTACTATTGGAATTGACGGCAGTTGGAGCGCTGTTGTTATTGTTACTGTCACCTGGATGATTGTTCTTGCTAGACGACCGCTGGCTCCTCCGGACGGGCATTTTGTCGCCGGCGCTGGACAAATCGACCTTGGTGTACAGGCTGAAGAAGTCGCGATCGAAGGGGGATTTCTTGGAGGAATCGGAGAGGACGGCCCACGCGTCGGCGACGAGCTTGAAGGCGTGATCGGCGAAGGGGAATTTGTTCTTGTCCGGGTGGAGGAGGAGGGCGAGGCGGCGGTACTGCTTCTTGATGAGGTCGAAGTCGGCGGCGGGATCCAGCTGGAGAATTGAGTACCAGTCGTGGTGGTGGTCGTCGCTGATCTTCTTGTCGGAAGAGAGGAGGACGTCGGCGATGGCCAAGATCTGATCGGAGCCGTCGAGGAGGGGATCGGTCTCCTGAGCTAGGACGGCGAAATCCTTGCTCCCGGTGAAATCGCGCGACTGGAGGAGCTTCCCGGCGACTCCGAGGAGGCGTTCCGCCTCGGCTCTGTCCGGAGCTCCGCCGTTGGGAGTATCGTTCATTGCTTCTCTCCTTCTGTTGTCGTTGTCCTTCAGTCTCGAGCTCAGGGTCGGGTCGGGGGAAGTTTCCGGTTTCGGTATTATTGGCTGGATTGGGTGGAAATGGAAATGGAAATGGAAATGGAAGAAAGAGGAAGGGGAAATAACAAATGAATTATTAAATGGGCGTTGCGATCTAATTGGATGAATGGGAAACAGGTCAGATCAGCCTAAACCTACGAGAGCAGATGAGCTGGATAACGCTGTGATCTGCATAATCGTATTTATTGCTTATTGGGGATTATACCATTTTTATATAATAATAATATAAGATTAATTGTATCCAGTGGCGTAGCCAGGATTTTGGGTAAGGGGTGTCAATTTAAAAAAATTAAAATGACTATCAATTTTTTATAGTGACCCACGACAGGTTCTCATATTTTGAAAAGTCTGTAAAATACATTCAACTATCAAGAAGCTCGTTTGTTAGGGTTAAATTTTCGTTTACTTCTTGAATAAGCATATGTAATTATGAGATTTTTTAATTTAATTTACTTATTATTTGTAACGGTAAATTATATATATGCAATAAAACGTATTAGTGTATCATGTAAGTAATTGTGGTTTAGTGGAAGATGTCAAAGCTAATAGTAAGGGGGTTCCACGTTCAAATCCTAGCTATAGCATAAACTAATACCCCTATTTTTTGATGTTCTAGCCCCGATCCAAGGGTGTGCCGTGGAACACCCTTCTAATACTGTGTCTCCGCCCCTGATTGTATCATATCAAATCATTTTATACTATAATGTCTGTTTAGCGAGTGTTATTGTTTGATCGGTGGTACAATCGGTTTATACCAGTTCATGCCAGTTTAGTAAGTGGTATGGTGTGATCGGTGGTACAATCGGGTTATACCAATTCATGTCGGTTTTAGCAAAGCATGTAGGAAAGTGGAAAATCATCAACACTAAATGAGTTTAGTCATATGATGATCACTTCCCCTCTCGTTTTCTTTCTCTCTCCGAGTCGTTAGTGCCTCCTGCAGCGGGGATCTTTTGGCCATCTTGTCGGTTGACTGATGTCGGTGACTTTCTCCTCCGCCTCTTCTCTTATTCTACTGATTCTTCTCATCGACTTCTTTCGAATTTTGTTTCACTATGACTACAATTGAGAAATCGTGGGCTAATCTTTTTGGGATCGTCGAGGCGGATCGGCTTGTTTACATAGAACCTAAGATCGTCGAGAGTGACCTAAGGATTCCTACGGAGCTCATCCAAGAAGGAATTTCTATATGGGAGCATAGTCTTGTTAGGAAATTCCTCCATTATTTGCCCTCTGTCAAACAACTCTAGATTTGGGCAAATCGCTTCTGGAGCAAATTGAGACTAGTTAGGGTTTCTCTGTTTAGCAATCATCTTATAATGTTCCATTTTCCCAAACGCAGCGACACCATAATGGGTCTTCGCCAGTGGCCCTTGGCACTTCATGAATGAAATGTGTTTCTTTTGCTAGTGGACTCCAAGCATTTGTGCAGTGAGTTGTAGTTCTTTTATTCATATCTAGGTTTGCTTCAATGATCTTCCTGTTGAGTATATTATTGGTCTCATCTTAACAAGAATGGCAAGTATGTTGGGCATTCCGCTATGGTTTGACCAATCTACTAGATTAGGAAGAAGAATGGGTTTCCCAAAGGTTGGCGTGGAGATGAGTATTGAGTCTGCCTTTCCTGAAACTCTGAAACTTGTTCTTGATAACAAACCAGCTTTCTTGGTAAATCTTGAGTACTGTAATCTCCCTTTAGGCTACAAAAGATGCAAAGGTTTTTGGGCATATGTGTGAGGAAGAAGTGGATGTTGATCAATCAAGAGAAGAGTTGAGGGCTGAGAAGTTGACTTGAGATGTGAAGGATGAGACTGAGCATCATCAACTCTCTACCACCGCATCCATAAAGAGAGAATGATGACAATGTGGCTTTGGCCGGGCAAACTGGCAAAGGGTGATCACAAAAGGATCATTGCCAAGGAACTCCTCAAAGTTTGGTGGAGGTTTCACAATAAGCTCATGGCCGATGCAAGCCTCTTCCACCAAAACTTCATCCTTAGCATGAAAACCGATTGCTTCATATACCACCCTTCCTTCTTCATATGTCGATTCCTCCTCTTGTGGAGTCTCAAGGAATTTCTCTTCCTTGATTTCTACCTCCTTCACAACTTCTTTTCTTATCTTTCCTCGCTCTTCCCCAAGCGTGTATCGGATAACAAGGTTCCAAGCGATGTCTTCGATAGGCTCGCCCCCATCTCCTCACTTATAACCTCCTCTTCAAAGATTGAAATAAAGTGGGGAAGGGTGGTGGCTACCACAATAGGATATTCGCGTTCTTAAGCATCACGGTGGCCTTCCGTGACAACTCCCGACTGCTCCAATTCGTCCTCGGGGCTTGCCTCTTCATCTTCCTCTTCTTCACAAACCGCTAAGAGTCAATCCTCAGTCAACCGTGCACAAGCCATCTCTACCGTCGAGTTCAGCTTCTCCATTCTCTTGCTAATTTCCTCTGCTTCACAGGGGAAATCTAAGTAAGGTGGATCCATGGTTGGGAAGGCAGTCCAGAGTATGATCTCTCATTATCCGACACAAACTTCTCCACCAATAGCTCAAATTGGCTCTTTATTTCTTGTTGTGGAGGGTGGTCTTCATAAAATGGTTGGAACTCTTGAACGTCTAGGGGATATAGTTGTTCAACATAAGAAGGTGGTTGGTAGTCGAACCTGAATCCGTAGTCTTATCCGCTTTGATTTCTCCATGATTTCATAGGGTAACACTACTCGGATGTTGGTTGATACCCCCCATGTATAGGAGAAGCTAATGCGATCCATGATTCATATATGCATCATAAAAAGATAGTACACAAAATAAAATAAAAATAAAAATAAAAAATGCTAAATTAAAAATATTTTTCTTTGTCTGAATAATAGACCGTGCTCCCCAGCAACAACGCTAGAAAACTTGGCTCGCTACTACCCAATCCCAATCATAGGCCAAGTGTAACCTATAACCGGTTTAGTATAGATAAAGGATTTCAATTATCAAACCTGAGGATCTATATATCCTTACTTCAACAATCTACAATTTATCTATCAATCAAAATATTGTTTAGAGCTAATTAACTAAATAAGCAAAGAATTAAAAAATGTTTATGATAGAAACACGATTTCTTAAGAAAATCGGGTTTATACCCCATTTATTATTATTAGTATTATTAGAATTTTTTTAAATAAGGTTAGTGGTCTTTTAGTAGAATTAAGATTATTATTAAAGTTTCCTAGTATTCCTTATAAATATTTACTTTGTCATTCATTCACAATCAAGCAAGAATAATTATTAAGAAAGTATCTCTCAAAAATCCTAATCTCCTATCCTCTAATTTCTCGATCTCTAGCCCTCTAAGGCTTCAACCGATTCTCTATTCTATTCTCTTCTCCCCCAAATTCTCAATCTCAATCCCTATTTCTATCTTCTAATCCTTAAATCCCCAATTCTCTTCTATAATCCCTAAAATCTCAAATGTCGATCCAATCTGCAAACCTGCTAGAAACTATGTACTTTGTCATTCATTCACAATCAACCAGATCTTGCGGAAGAGTCAGTCAAGTTGGTCAACCTTGAGGGAAAGGTTGGTTTCAAGGGAGGAGAGGACATTGATAGACACACGATTCTTGTGGGCTTCTATTATTAATTATAGTAGAATAAATATTATGAGGGTTAGTAGTATTAGGTTATTTATCAGGTTTGTTCCAGTCTTTTGCTATAAATATGCACTTTGGAGTTACGACATAATCAATAAGAGAAGTATTAAGAATAGTATCCCTCTAAACTCTATTCTTTAATCCTCTAAATCTCGTCCTTCCTTTCCCAAAGGCCGCTGGTCATTCTACCTTAATTCTGCCCGATTCCTCTTCTAAATCTCTAATCCACAATTATGTTCTTTCTATCATAAATCCCCAATTCTTCCCATATATCTATCAAATCCCCAATCATCTATCAATTCATCATTCTGTAATCCTATTCTGGACGTCTTAGATCAATAGGGTTTCTATCAGTTTAATTCAAGTGAGAAAAGTTTACTCGGACGATATCCCCCCCCCCCCCCTAGTCCCATGTTGTTATGCAAATGTTATACTCTAGTACGATAGGTGAACTTTATATATTGTCAGGAGATATAAAATAGCTAGGACCCCCTATTCGAGTGCATTCTAGCCCACTTAATCGATCTAATTGGAGGGGCGTACCACACAACCTCAAAAGATTACTAAGGCAATCAATTCTGCTCCCTATGAGATCAACCTGAATTGCCATAAGGGGATTTTCTCCCTCCTAGGTCAATTTGCCCCAAAATTGGGGGATTTTCTCAAGAACACTTAATTTGCATGAAAAATGCCTCAAACAATATATAAATAACAATATCTATCATCACAAAGAGTTCACAAATTACAATTTACAACATCATGGGCTAGGATTCACATCATCTAAGTGAATAGAGGAACTACTCCACAGCTAGAGAGGAAATAACAGCTAGAATAGAAGAAAACCCCATGTGACTTGCTTGGATGGATGCTTGGAGATAAAAACCATTCTGTCCATTTCTAACCTTCTAATAACATGAACCGAACTGCTATTGTAACTGATTTAGTGATTCTACTGGCCCAACCGTTGAACCAGTTCGATTCTTATAACAATGCTCATTCCCCAAACAAAATATCTCACATAAACCCAACTTATCATAAAATAAATATATACGAGTATCGAGATAACCGCATCTACGTGCACATCACCATTCCTAGATCAATCTAAATCTGATAAGCTTAATATTCTAAGGATGTTATAAAGAGGGAACATGTGCATACTACTCGTAGCTTTACATTAACCTAGGAAAGGTCGAAAATTCCCTTGAACACACCAATACATATATCATTGTAGGGATTGTACGATAACTTAAGTTAATTAATAGGATTATTTATGTTTAGTTT